TGTTAATTGGATGGCTTTTGGACAATGACTGCTTCAGTCTAAACTGCCCATCAAGGTGGCTGTGTGAATAGAATGGGTGTAAAAGGAAACTTGTATGCTGCTGCCTTGAACTCCTTGGAGAAAAGGTGGGAAATGTAATAAAACTCTAGGTTGCTAAAATGGATTAAAAACAGAGTCACTGACAGGCATCACACAGGTGTGACTAGGGAGCTGGTTACATGTTTGTTTCTGTACTGTTTTTGTCAATGATCATCTTCTGGTAGAAAAAAAGCATGTTTTGAAACAAGGGAATATGGCACAAGATTAATTCCCTGTTGTGTCCATAGTTGAGACGCAAAGAATGATGGTCAAGTGACATATAGCAAGTGAGAGTTCATCCTGGAAGCGGAGCTCTTGGGAATAAGTGGCTGATGAGGTATACTCATGTTTACACTGCTGAAATGGAGGTGGAGCACTAGAGCTAGTTCAAACTTTCAGGATCTGGCTCAATAAATGTTTCTGCCTGAAGTGGAACAGCAAATGGCACCCTTTCATCATGGTCAGTACAGTAGAGGGAGGAATGGTTAATCTGTTTCATGTCCCCCCCCCCATTCTTTCACTCCAAATCTACACACACACACACACATGCACACACACACACACACACCACAGGGGAAATAATGGCAGGCAGATAAGAGGACAAGCATGCCTTCCATTCATCCCTTTCGTTTTACCTCAGGCCTCTATTTTTATCTTTATTTTTAAAGGGCAGTGAGGGCATACGTCAGGGCATAGTTTGGACCTGTGAAATACCATCTGGGGCTGGGACAAGACCATCTGCTGCCAAAGACAAAGCATACAATTCCATACAAAAGCCCTCTAGTCCATTTACAGAAGCTGATGGGACTGACATTTAGATCCTTTTTTTTAAAACACTGGAGGTAGGATGGCATCTTCCATAAAACCAGGGATTGCAAGAACAGGCATTCCTCTCAGAGAAGGAAATGCCTCAGGCCCTGGGAAGGAGGTGTTCAGGAGAAATGGCCAGAGGGAATGCCACCGGTGCCATCTGCTCTCTGTGAGAGCTGCTTCATTCTGACTAATGGCAGGGGAGACTGGGAGGCCTCTGCCAAACCCCCTGCTGAAGCACATGGGAGAAAACTAAGCTTAGGAGCTCTTTGCTTCTGGGGCCTAGGCATGGCCAACCTTGCTGGTCCTTCTGATCAAAATGATGGAATCTCTGGCCAATCAGGGAGAAAGGCAAAAACAAAACTTCAACCCCAGCTCTTTGCAAAAAAACTCCAACTCCAGCTCTTTCTTCACCTCCTCTAGGGTCACTTGCCTCCTTAGTTGCTGAAACTGTAGTGCCACAGATGAGTCACTTATCTGCTGCATGGTTGAAAAATCCAGCTGCTTAAAATTGTTTGTCCCCCATTTGCTAGGTTAGTGTGACATGGCCTTTAAAGCCATTCCCCTAGGTATTCTAGGAGGTACAACATGAATTGATCCTTTTGACATTTTTAAAGGTGCAACTACACAGTGAAGAAATGCAAATGAGACTGCCCCAAAACCCATAGTATTTCCCACAATTTTTCCCCCTGTAGTAAGTTTGGTAGCCAAATATGACTGAACCATGCTAATGAAACAATCTTTTTTGATGTTGGTTTCAAAACCCTGTTTTACTAATATTTGTGGGATAGTCTTTAACATTTAAAAGGGACGTGGTGGCGCTGCGGGTTAAACCACAGAAGCCTCTGTGCTGCAAGGTCAGAAGACCAGCAGTCGTAAGATCGAATCCACGAGACGGAGTGAGCTCCCGTCGCTTGTCCCAGCTCCTGCCAACCTAGCAGTTCGAAAGCATGTAAAAATGTGAGTAAATAGGTACCACCACGCTGGGAACGTAACGGCGTTCCATGTCCAGTCGTGCTGGCCACGTGACCACGGAAACTGTCTTCAGACAAATGCTGGCTCTACAGCTTGGAGACGGGGATGAGCACCACACCCTAGAGTTGGACACAACTGGTTTAAATGTCAAGGGGAACCTTTACCTTTACTTTAACATTTATTTAGCATTTGCTTGGTGCATGTGCTTATAGTCTCTCACACACACATACACACATGGAGCTTGCATCTGCCAGCTTCAAATAGTAACTTCCCCTCCCCTCTTCAAACATTTCTATCATTTAGAATGTTGTTCATAATTTAGGGCACAGTTAGATCAGCAAGCTCTCCCATGCAAGCTCCACTGGAATCCCTCTGTCACCCCTCTCCAGTGCAGCAGAAGCGTGCCTCATGGACTAGGCCCATCGTGCTTTAAACAAAGAAGTTTATTCCCTCTACATTCTCTTTAAAAACAAATACAATTACATTTTCATTCAATCAGTCCAGAGACTGGAAAAGGTACTTTTTTTTTGACCACAACTACCAGAATCCCTCATGCTGACTGTGGGGATTTTAGGAGTTCTAATCAAAAAGCAAGCCACTTTTGAGGCCTGGCTATTACTGCTTTCTCCCCACAAGTGAGCTTTGTGCCCTATGCTTTTTGCTTGGCAAACAAGTTCAACAAGGTAAGCCTTTCTAGGCATGCAAGCAGAGTGAAGGCATCTTTCCAGTGAGCCTAAAAAATCATTAACATCAAAGTGCTGAAGGAAACCTGAAACATTCAGAGGCCATAATGGTTGAATTCTTTAATTGGGCAGAACAGGGGCATTTAACAAGGAACAGTGGGGCAAGATAAATGGGGTGGGAGAGAAAAAAAAACAGTATCACATGGCTAAAGAACCATGAAGACAAATGGAGAAAAGGAGAAGCAGAACAGTCATTGCTCAAAGTCTCCAACTGAAAAGACAGAAGAAATGTTTAGCCACACCAATATCAACAGAATTGGAAATAGCTAAGTGGGCAAAATGTTACAGTGGAGATTGTACACCTCTGTGTATTTGGAATAATTTCTAGCATAAATCTGGGATTGCTGAGAGTCTCCTGACTGAAGGCTGCTGCCAAGAGAAGCTCACACTCATAAAAAGCAGCCCATCTCTGTGGTGCCAAGGAGCTAAGAGAACTTTTTCTGGAAATACTCAGCATGTATTAATCTATCTCATATGTATGGTTCTTTTCTTCTAGGCACTGTAAGCCCTAAACTAACATGCTCAGAAGGCAGCAATTTAGTACCCTGAACGTTATTCTTTTCTATCTGTTATTCTTTTCTGTCACATCACACACGCGCACATACAGGGACACGCCCACACTTGCAACTGTACCCTTTTAATCTCCTAGAAACAAACTCCACTTCTGTTTAAAAAAAAGGTTCAGAAGCAAACGTACAAACTGAACAAAATTTTGCAATGATAGCATATATGCATTAGAAGTATACTGGTTTAAATGTCAATTCATGGAACTGATTTCAACCTTAGAGTGTCATTTTTTCATGGCATAGAGCATGAAAACACAATGTACAAATATTTCCTGGCCTTAATTGGAATGGATTGGCAAGTCTTGGCCCACAGGTCCCCAATAGCTACTGTGGGGAGTTCTCTGGAAAATCTAAATGGGAGACAAAGGCCTAAACATTACAGTTAATTAGTCATTATTTAAGTGTCTGACTGGCACAGTAGCACCTTATTGTATCTCCAATACTGGGCAAATTACTTAGCATTCTTTTGTGATATTGTTCTGGATATAAACATAGATTTTGTTTGCAAGTATGACTGGTCAGTCATGAAGGTCAGCTCCAGTGATGTCTCTGAAGTGGGGTTCAACTTCTAATGATAATCTATCATTTAGTTTGGCCCTCATTCTGGAGAGTGATGCCTGTGAGGAAAGGCAATTATCCTCGTTTCATGTCGATCGAGTGATTCACGAGGTGTTTGAGGGACTGGTGGTTGTTGCCCTTCTTGTCCTTTGTCTGTCCTACTTTTTCCCCAAAAGCCCTTCCTCACGTTCTTTGCCTGATAACAGGCAACACAGGCTGGCCACACTCCCGGATCTCTTGCTGACACATCTGGGTTTGGCAGGAGGCCCAGGGGCATGTTGAGCAGAGCTGGATATTGACTCAGCACAAACCGACCTCCAGTTTCCAGGAAGGGGAAGGGTTCCTGAGGCTTCCAAGTTCCCAGCTACCAACCCCCACTGCTAAGGTACATGGCCACTGAGAGTGACACTGCAGTTGCTGAATCATTGGCCACCTATTCCAAAGCATCCTCCACTACCTCTTATACTCCAGATGGGATTGCAGCCTACCTGGAACTCTAAACATATCCACACGGCAAGAGCAAGTAGCCCTAAAAACCTTATTCTCCCTGTTAAGATGATAAACCTGAATTGTATAATTTCAGACAGTGGTTGGAGGGTCATGGGAAAAAATATAAGGGGACAGGAGTTTTATACACAGAAGTTTAACATGGGAGAAGAGTTCTCATCTTGCCTACTCCTGAGTTGCCAGTTTCTCTGAGTAGGATTCCACTTGCTAGCATGTCAGCATGCACATGTAACCTGTTCCCTAATGTGAATCTTCACCTTGAATCCAAAGGAGGGATCAGTAGATAAAGTAGATATTACACAGCAAATACATATTGAGGCCAAATTATTCTTTTATAGACAACCCATCATTGGAAAAGGTAATTCCTCACCTACCAAAAACATCTGCTTGTCACAGTAGGAGCCTTTCTCACCTCTCATGCTTTGTTTTGTGACTGTTCTTCGGGTTCTCAGCAATGAGCTTGCTTGAAAGTCCTGAGGGTGTGATCAGATGGCTTCAAGGGCCTGATCACCTTTGAAATGGTAATGGGACCAGTCTCCCTTCAAGTGACCCTTCCACCTGCTGAAGAATTGCTCCAGCCCAGCCCCCAAAAGTAGAAGCCATACAGCTGGACCAAAAAGGTCCAGCTTGGGCACAGTTCAAGGTTGTGTTGGAGCATGTTTCTGTGTGTGTCATCACCAGGACACAGATCACACTGGACTTCTCCCTAAGCAGCCCAGATTGTGATCTACTTCTCTATGGGATCATGCTCAGATACATTGTGATCTACTTCTCTATGGGATCATGCCCTAAGTTCTCAGATATGATGTTCTGTCAGAATCATGTCTCTGGAACTCTAATGTGATTGCAGCTGTGAAAATGAGTTATCTATAACATATCGTTTGCTGCATTGTCTGCGAACTTGAGGAAAGGATTGGCACTGGGTGGAATCCTTAACTCTTTCCTTTCTGGCCATTAAAGAAAAGTCTTAAAATTACTCTCCAGCTGCTTTTCCTTCAGTTTGCTGAAATGTGTGTTTTTCCACTGGCAATGGAGATTTTAGAGAACACAGCCAGAGCCCCATGACAAAGAATGCTGCTGAAGGAAAGGCTGAGCCTATGAGGAAAGGGCCTTCCTGCACAGCAGGGCCAAGGCTAAGGAAACAGCTTTACTTTAGCTCGCCTGCTTTCTTCTCTTGTTCCTTCGTAGAGGTTCAAATATCTGCCTAGGCCTACCTAAAACTGATACTGTACTTGAACTTGGGGAGATTGAGATTGAGAGTCAAATTCACTAAGCAAAAAAATGATGTATCCAGGAGCCTCAGGAGTGCTCTGTAAAAACAAGGTGATCTCCACATCACAAGGTCTCCTCAAGGGAGATGGGCCAAGAGGATGGGTGTCTTTCCAGCCAGCCCTCGCCTTGGAACTGCGCTTGCTTGTATCCCTGCTATCCCCTCTCTGTGGCCATTCCAGAAACAAGCTGAGTTGGGAACAGGAAGAGCAGTGTCCCCTTCCTACTCTCTCCCTCATGTCCCCTGTGTTTTGTGACACCAAATTGGCATGAAGGGTCTGTGTTTCTCTCTCCATCCCTTTGTGGGCCCGCAAAAACACATGGAGCCCCAAAGCCACGCACTTGGCCTCGTAAAATCACAGCAGCCCTAATATCATAGCCTATCCAATGGCTTTTGGTCTCGCCACAAGCATCCTCAGAAAGGACATTCCTTCATCCATCAATGTTGGCTTGATCTACTAGGATGGTGGTCTGCATGGGGGAGGGGCAGATGGGGAGGTGATGGTCACACAGGTAGATAAGCCCTCGTCCATCATCGTGGCTCATGTGCCCCCAGTACAGCCACGGGCTCTACTGTCACCTGTTCCAGTTTTATGGGGGCTGATGGAGAGGGAGTCCTTGGGGTCCCATTGCAGGGGGGCTCTGTATCAAGAGCCTCTCCTCCGGCCAACTTCGCCTGGTCACTCAGCAGCTTGACAAGGAAGTTGATATATTTCATGGCTAGACGAAGGATCTCATTTTTGCTCAACTTTTTGTCAGGCGGGTGGGTAGGGATGAGTTTCCGGAGCTCAGCAAAGGCACCATTCACATTCTGTTGACGCCACCGCTCCCGACTGTTGGTGAAGACCCGACGTGCCACCTTCTGAGGCTGAAGACCTGGGCAGATAAGTGGGAAAAGAGAGGTGGGTAAAGCATATTTGCAAATGCATAAACTGAGATGTGGATGGGAGAGACATGGGTTTCCACGTTAGCAGCCAGACCCATCAGCAACAATTTCAAAATGGTGTGTCTGTGTGTGTACATGACAGAGAGAGATTGGGAGAGAGAGAGAGAGTCACCATCACTCAGTGGTGATATAAAGGCCAATGTGTGAATTCCAGCAGAAGCTCTTGAACACACAAGGTAACAACAACAACAACAACAACAACAACAACAACAACAACAACAACAACAACAACAACAACAACAACAAAATCTAGGTTTCTTCTGAACATGTCTTAATGTCATACCCTGAAGCCATGAGACTGAATCCCAAAATTTAGAGTTGCTGGACTGGCAACTTTTAATTCCTTTGAGAGGTCAGGTCCAAAACCTTAGATCCAGAGAACAGGCCCCCAAATCCAAGACTTTACAACCCGTGTCACACCTCAGCTGAATTTACTACGCAGTCTTTCTTGCACCTACTCACCCTCTGTCATGTCCTGTTCAAAATGGCTTGGTCGGCGTTTGAGGCGGTTGCTGGGGAAAAGGCCAAACGCTCCAGAGCTGCCAATGTAGATGCTAGAGAGAGAGAAAAAAAGGGGGTCGAACTAGTTCTTTTAGGGTTACAGTTGATAGGTACAGTTGATAAATAATGACAGGGAGACTCATATAAACACATGCACATTAATTCCATATGATGATTAGTGTGGATTGCATTGCCAAGCAAGAGCTGGTTAGCTCAAGATAAAAGTATTCTTGTTACTCATTTCATAAAAATTCCTCACCTTATATTCAGGTCTGAATAACTGCTGCCCCTGCCACACATTTTCCCCCTCTTTCTTCATCACATTTCCAGAGTAATTCTCATAATACAAAAGAGATATTTGTCTCCTTCTGCTATCCTGGGCAAAGTTAATTCCTGGAATAAAAGCTATCTCATTCACAGAAATGATTTATTAACATAGGAACAGAAGATGAGCCCTGCTGGATCAGGCCAAGGGCCCATCTAGTCCAATTCCCTGTATCTCACGGTGGCCCCACCAGAGGCCTTTGGGAGCACATGAAACCACTAGATACCTGTCTCCTGATACTACTCCCCCTGCATTTGGCATTTTGTGGTACCTTCTTTTTAAGCCTGGAGATTATACACTCCCATCATGGCTTGTAATTTGCAATTGACTTTTTTTCCAGAAATCTGTCCAATCCCCTTTCCAAGGCATCGAGGCCAGATGCCATCACCACATCCTGAAGAAAGGAGTTCTACAGACTAATAGCATGCTGAGTAAATAAATAGTTTCTTTTGTCTGTTCTCACTCTCCCAAACACTCAATTTGAGTGGATGTCCCCTGGTTCTGGTATTGTGTGAGAGGGAAAAGAGCTTCCCTCTAGCCACTTTATCCATCCCCTGCATAATTTGATATATCTCAATCATGTCCCCCCACCCCTTAGGTGCCTTTTCTCTAGACTATAAAGCCCCAAATGCTGTAGCCTTTCATCATAAAGGAGATTCCCCGCCCAGTCATCATTTTAGTCGCTCCCCTCTGCACCTTTTCCAGTTCCAGTATGTCTTTTTTAAGGTGCGGCAACCAGAACTGTATGCAATACTCCAGGTGCGGCTTTACCAGCATTTTGTACAATTGCATTATAATGCTGACTATTTTATTTTCGATCCCCTTTTTAATGAGATGTAGCACGGAATTGGCCTTCTTCACTGCCGCCGCACACTGGGTTGACACTTTAGCTGATCCATAACAGACACAGTTGATAACTAAAGTCTTAATTTTTTTTTTTTGCCCCAATGTGCATTACTTTACATTTTCTTATAATGAAATGCATTTGCCATTTTGCTGCCCATTCTCCCAGTTTGGAGAGATCCTTCTGGAGCTCTTCACAATCCCTTCTGGTCTTCACCACCCAGAAAAGTTTTGTGTCATCTGCAAACTTGGCCACCTTACTGCTTATCTCTGTCTTCAGGTCATTGGTGAACAGGTTGAAAAACACCGGTCCCATGGACACCTACTCTCAATCCATGAGAGGACCTGCTCTCTTATCCTCTGACTGTGGAGTTGTCTCCTATACTAAATTTGGCCTCCGGGACCTCACAGCTACATTTCCCCATGTCGTTGGTGCCAACATGCACCACCAGTGCTACCTCATCCCCAGCACTCTCTATCAGTTTATCCAGATGAGATGTGATGTCCGCAACCTTTGCACCAGGCAAGCAAATCATTGTGTGGTCCTCACAACCGTCACAAACCTCTCGCTCTATGTTCCTGACAATCGAATCGCCTACTACCAGAAGCCCCCCTCCCCACAAGGAAGTATCCTCAGTGCAACTGGATACTGTAGAAGGGGTCCCCTCTAGGGGATGGTTTCCCTTTGGTCCAAATTGGCGTCCTCCAGCCTGGAGACTTCCAATCCGAGCAGCGGAGCAGCTGCCTGTCTGTGGGTGGGAGGACGCCTGAAGGTCCCTGGAAGTCTCACCTGTGGTTCCTCTCTCCCTATCTCTTGCTTTTCCTGGTCCGCAACCAAGACCTTAAGGGAGCGAACCCATTCCCTGAGTTCCTGGAACTCCTTGCAACGAGGACACACCCATGATTTTTGCCCAAGAGTCAGACACTCATACATATGACACTCGGTGCAAAACACTGATCTGATCTGTTTTCATTACATATCCCTTAAAACATACAGTATTTTGGTTTGTAGGCTGGCATTTCTG